GATGTCCCATCAGAGAAGCGATGATAAAAAGCTATTTGCAAACTTTGCATTGAGGCAACCACTCCTTGTGTGGCTCTCCTGTTTTTCAAAATCCAGAAGGAATGAGAGAACTAGTTGGAGTGCGGGGAGAGGTAAAATAAGGGAATGGATGATTTCTGAAAAGTTGAATTGTCTCACTCCATCTGTGATTCACAATCACATAAATGCTTGGACAGCTGTTGGATATTATGTGTGCGGTTGAGTTCAATAGTAAAAACAAAACAAAATAATAATCTGTGAACACAGGAATCAGTCAACAGGCATGACTGAATCTGGGACTTATACTAACAAGTTATTATCTGGAGGTACCAATGACAGGGTTATAATTTGTCAAATCTTTTTATGTTCATGTTTTTTTAAAAAAAAAACAATAAGGAGTTTGTTCTTTATCACTAACACCTTATCCTCCACTGTGCTCTATTCCATCTGAACTCAACAACCCAGAATACTTTGCAAAAGGATATGGAAAAACATTCATTCATCCACAAAACATATTTTTCTGATACCCAAAATGAAAGCCAAGGCAGCTAAAAACAACAAAATATAGATTAAGAATGGAAAAAAGTGATTAAGACCTAACATAAAAACTGCAACAAGTAACAACACAATTATAAACACAACAATAAAACACCCAGCCAGCATTCAAGCAGTTAAAAAAAGACCCCACCATATATATATATAAGGCATAAGATGTGGGTCTGTCAGGGGTAACTTCCAAAATGGAGGGTTATGGGATTTGTAGTTAAAAAATCTCATGCTTACCAGCATGGCTGTTGCCATGTTGTTTTCTTCTGAATAGGTTACCTGAGTTAAAACTATCGAGGTGCGTACCTATGTGGATGCCTCCGAGAGCCAGCTCTTATGTAACTCTAATTCTAACACTCCTTCTGTGAGGATACAACAGGTCCCCTATGTGACACTATGCAAGCGTATAGAGTACATCCATTTTGAGTTCAAAGCACAGCTAAAGGTGGTGTGGGTTTTTGTTTTTTTTTGACATTATTTTAAAAATCATCTATTCGTTCAGATCATAAGGGTTTATAAGTTTCAAACATAGGCAAAGCCCAATGAGGGAAAAAAAAAGGAAACAGACGGACAGAGAAATAGAAAACAAACGAGGCCCTGGAAAAATCTGGTCTCTTTTTGTGAGTCCTTGTGCCAATCTCAGCCTCATAGATTGAAATGTACAAATCAGCTTAGATAAGGGAGTGCCATAAAGTCTGCGCCAAGTTTCTGTCTATGAGGGCTGTACAAACCCTGAAAGAAATGTTAAATGAGAGAAGAAAGCACATCCTATGCCTCACTTCAGCAGCAGCACAACAAGGTGTCCTTGCGTTTGAGCACTCTAGCATCTGCCTCAGTGTACTGATGGGGTCTGAAGGTTAACATAACCTCCATTAAATTCAAGAAGCACTTCTGAGGATTGACTGGCTTTTTCTAGCAAAACAACCCCAAAAGTATTGCTGCTCTTTCTTCTTCCCTCTTTCTCTCTCGACTTTAAACAAACAGCAAGAGTGTGCGGTGATGCATCATTTATAAATTACCTTGTTAATGTGCCCCCTCCTGTAACAAAGCCCAACCCTATCAACACCCACCACAAAATGCTGCTTTGAAAGAAAAGAAAAAACAACACCACAAAAACACAAACTCCTCCTGCTGAGAACTCCGGCACGTTTGATGGAAGGCCTTCAAAAGAGTTCACGGTGTAATGCGGGCTGTTGATGTGGGGACTTCGATCCGCGCCTCCTGTCCCCCGTCACTCCCGGGGAAACTTGGTGGCAGATGTTGCCCCGTTAAGTTGTCTCTGAAGTGGTTCTCTCTCCTCGCCTCCCCACCACCACAGAGTCAAACTGCATTAGATCTCTTCTATTTGTGCCTGAGGCATGTTTGGGAGTGCAGCTGTGTCTGTCCCCCCACTCTACCTTTCGTGTTTCAGGCCCCTCCCCCTCGGGCAGCAAATGCGAGACCAAAAAAACACCCACTCTACCTTTCGTGTTTCAGGCCCCCCCCCTCGGGCAGCGAATGCGAGACCAAAAAAATAGTTCTTCCAGCCTTAACTACATCTGCTGACAATCCAGAAGGTTCGCTGCAGGCTGGTGTGGAGCTAGGCCTCTGTTCGGAACAGATGTCTATGACAACCTGCTAGCTTGCACCTGTACACACCTCCCTCACCTCGCCGAATGCTGGCTGAAAAATTGATGACTCCGAGGGGTTCCATCCACAATCAAAGCTTCTCTGAACAACGGCAGGTGGCCCTCAAACGGGGCCAGCTTTGCTATCAGGAGTTGGCATTTCTCAGAGAAGAGTGGCAGTAAGGAAAAGAGGAGAAAAGGGGTCTTTCTCTCATTCTCCCTAGCTCAGTTTCACGGGATCAAGATCTTGAATACAAATGTGGATCTTTCCACAAATACAAACAACATGCCAAAAAAACAGCAACAACACACCACCCTCTGTTTCAATTGCTTTTGAACATGACAGGTGTGTCTAGGTGGGGTTTTTGTTCAATCATACACACAGGAGATTCTGCAGCTTTCCCTGAATCATGGAACTGATGAATAAAACATGCTTTCCCTCCACCCTGAACAGATACGAATTGTTCATCTACAATACCACAAGATGCACCCAAAACACAGTAAGTGACTTCAACACTTCGCCCCGAAGCCAAACAACCGACTTATACATTCAATTATATATTCCCTACATCTCTCCCACCTCCAGTTTTTCAAGCCAAACTAAACACTAGCTGATGCTTGCTTAATGCAGATCTGGGATGGAGGAAAGCTCCGTTCCTATCTCCACTTGGCAACGGAAACTTACCGAGGTGTAGCAATGGTAAAGCCGCTCCCTGAATATGTCACAGACATCAGACACCATAGGGCCGCTATACATTGGAATTCACTTCAAGACAACCAACACAGTGCTGGTTTAGAAGTTTATCAGATACGGTCTAAAGAAAGTCCTTTCACTTTGGCACCTCTAGCAGGGAGGAAACTAAACACTGGCGCTTAGGTAAAGATTCCCCTTCACAATTTGTCCAGTTGTATCCGACTCCAGGGGGTGGTGCTCATCCCCGTTTCCAAGCCATAGAGCCAGCGTTTGTCCGAAGACAGTTTCAGTGGTCACGTTGCCAGCGCGACTAGACATGGAATGCCATATCCTTTCCATTGAGGTGGTACCTATTTATCTACTCATATTTGCATGCTTTCAAACTGCTAGGTTGGCACTGGAGCTTAGATCTCATTAAACACACCGTCAGACCAAAAGAAGCTAGAATGGGAGAGCTTTTAAATTTTGGGTGTTTTTTTTTTTAAATTTCAAGCGGTTTTCTGCAGGATATTCTTATTTTAAATCCAAACATTGAAAAAAAATCAACAATTCTTTAGTAGTTTCAAATTAAAGAATAGTTCTACTAAACACCAAATCCTTAATGTGGAAAAATGTACAGTACTCTCCCAGAAATCTGAGTGCATTCTGTATTTGCATGCTTGTTTCCTTCTGAATTTGAATTGAATGCTCCTGTCACTCTCCCTATGAGCCAAATGACACAATCAAGTTTAACCTCAGCCCACCAATGAAATGCTGGGAATATTTCTACTTTCTTACAGTATTTTCAGCTCCACACCCCACCCCCTGGTGCCTTCAGTTTTTACCAAAACGTTATACTACTACAACAGGTTTCAGAGTCAATTAAACACTATAAAAACAGCAAGGTGCAATAATGTCCACCAGGTGTCCTTCAAAAGTGTTGCTATGTGAAGTCCAAGTAATAAAAATTTCAGATAATTAACTCCAACCCTCCTGATTAATATTCCCTGCATGCATGTGTAATATCGTACCTACAATAGTCTTCCATTTAATGGGTTTTCCATGGCCTTCTTTGAAATCTCAGATTCAGAAACATGGGCTCCAAGTGCAGAACTGAATGTTGACTTTTAGGACCCCACTAATTACTCTCTGCCTACAACGTAAGAGCATAAGAAGGCCTGGTCTCTGCTTTTATGGAAGTCCCACTGGTAGCTGTTCAAAATGGCAGACACCAAAAACTCAGGGGACTGCTTCTTAGACTTGTTGAGCTCCTAATGTGTGTTTAGATTGTTTAATTGTGTTTTAACTGTCTAGATCTCTGTATTTTACTTTGTATTTATTTGTAAAAAAATATTTGTGAGTCACTCTGGAATTCCACTTTTGGGTGAATGGCAAGTTAGACATCAAATAAATGAGGAAGAAGATAAAAGTGTTTCAAAAAGCAGCTTGTGATGTCAACCAACATGGGAGAATCTGTAGGAACAGATGAAGCTGCCTACCAATGTTCCAGACCATTGGTCCACTTGGCTAATACTGTCAATTCTGATTGGCAGCTACTTACAAGGGTTTCGGACAAGATTCTTTCAGAGCCGTACCTGGAGATCCCAGGTATTCTATCTCCAACTTGAGTACTAATCGGGTCCAACCCTGCTTAGCTTCCAGAATCAGGTAAGAGAGCCGTGTACAGTGGCATTCAGTGGAGAAATGAGTTCTTCTCTTGACTCTGCTCCTCTTCACTATGCTCAAAACATGAATATGATATGCCCGTCTTCCGTGAGGTGGGTCATCACAACTGCCACATTTCCTCTTAAAAAATAAAGTATATGTATGGCAATTTGGTACTTAAGCACAGCACCCACTTCATACATGATATCTACATAGTGGTGAGGAAGATGCCAGAGATGAGAAAAGTCACACTTTTTTTTTTTGGATTGCAGTTCCAACAGTATCACAGTTAACACAGCCCTGGGAGTTGTAGTCCAAGAAAAAAAATCTCATTTCTGGAAAATGGCCACCCATTCTTCCATTGCTAGAAGACTCTACCCGTTACCTTTAATATCTTAAAATGAAGCCCATGAAATTCTGCTGTTCATGTTTGCCAGTCAGAGACTTCTGATCATGGCAATTCAGCCTCAGACATTAACAATTGCACAAACCTCATCTCCTTGCTGCGGTCGCATTAAAGACACTCTGTCATACTGCCGCCTCAGCAGAGCCCATAGTGCATCCAGTCGACCCTGTAAAGAGAAGGCCAGGAAGACTTTTGATGAGCTGGCATACACACAGAAGCAGTTCTTTAAACCCATTAACCGTCCTTGGCTATGTCTTGGGGATTACTGTCAGCCAAACGACACTGTAGGACAATGACAGATCCTTAAATGGGACGCTATTAGGCATAAATTCTGCTTAATGGGAACACACTGAGCCAGTGAGGTGTGATTAAGTAAATGGTTCTTCACAATGTGTTAAACGAGTGGGAAATTCTAAGTTCTGGTGTTTTACCTGTTTTAAGTTGAAAGGCTTTTAAAACACCCATATACGAAGAGGGGGGGGAGGACAGAGAGAGGAGAGATGAAGATCAAATAAAGAATAGAGTTGTGCCCCGCTTAACGATTACCCCACTTTACGACGAATCCACTTCACGATGATGTTTTTGCAATCGCAATTGTGATCGCAAAACAATATTTTAAATGGGGGAATTTTGCTGCGCGATGATCGGTTCCCTGTTTCAGGAACTGATTCTTCGCATTACGATGATCAAAACAGCTGATCGTTGGGTTTGCAAAATGGCCCCCGGGTGCTCAAAATGACTCCCCGCTGTGCTTAGGGACAAATCCCTCACTATACAGGCACTGAAAAGGGCCGCTCTATGGAGGATCTTCGCTGGACAGTGAATTTTTAGCCCATTGGAATGCATTAACCAGGTTTTAAGGTGTTTCAATGGGTTTTTTATTTTCGCTTTATGACGTTTTCATTCTACAGCGATTTCGCTGGAACGACTTAATGTCGTTAAGTGAGGCGCCACTGTAAAGGTCTTTGAGCCTTTGTCCAAATCAGGGGCCAGGAACTGTGGTCCTCCATATGCTGTTGAACCCTCATTATTCCTGAACACTTGCCCTGCAGGTCAAACCTTTTGGAAACTGGACTCCAACCGCATCTGGAGGCAAGCCACCCCTTTCCTGAGGAGTTTCTTATCTCTCTTTTCTGATGCAAACATTGTGTTCAATGAGGGAAGATGTCACGGTACCTTAATTGGCGTATACCACTTTTCCTGAGGTGGCGGCAAAGTAGGCTTCGGTTTGGGTGGTCTAGGTTGAAATGGCTCTTCAGTCTCTTCAGGAATGGTTACCACAGCATTTTTGGCTTTCTCTAGCCGGGCACCTTCTTCAGTGGACCCTTTGTCACCCCAACGAACCTGTAGAAAGCAAAACCGTTATCCAAGCAGCCTTAGAGTGCAAGATACTCTCAATCCACTTGTTATGTAGAATTAACTTTATAACTGAAGTCATTTATCTGAGTCAATTACCATTTATCTGATAATTCCCACAGACAGTGCAAGCCTATGCATGTCTACTAGAAGGTCTCACTGAGTTCAATCAGACATATTCCCAGGTACATGCAGGCACAATTACATCTTGAAACTCTCAGTTTAGTAAACCATTTTGTTCTGACTGGGACACCAGGGGATTAAAACAGGCTTACCATACAGTATTCTACTTTACTGACAATGTCCTCTCAGCTGAACTACTACAGTGGACCCTTGACTTACAGACAGCTTGACTTACAGACTTTTTCAGTTACAGACTTCTCTGGCCGCAAAATTTAGGTTTGACTTGCAGCCTGAGAATTGACTTACAGACCAGAAAAAAACCAAAATGGAACAAAAACGGCCTGTTACGGGATTAATCGGTTTTCAATGCACTGTAGGTCAATGGAGACTTGACTTACAGACTTTTTGACTTGAGAACCACCTTCCAATACGGATTAAGTTCTCAAGTCAAGACCCCACTGTATGGGTAAAAGCCAAAATACTATGCTCAATAACCCTTCTAGAATCTGTACACCTAGAAGTTGGCAGTGTCATGTGATAACCAAGGGAATTAAAAAACACATAGAATACCTTCTATTGTTATCAAGAATAATCCTCTTCAACCTTCAAGCACCAGGATTTAAAAAAAAAATTGGCCAATAATTGTAGTCCATGACGATCCATGTACTAAAATTAGCGATTTTATCATCAACACAATGATTAGGGATGGGTCTAGAGTTTAGTGTATACTTATTGTATTTAATAAGCATAACCATAAGCATTCCAGTGAGGCCAGCCTACTAACAATCACAATGAACCACCCAGAGGGGCCTTGACTGCCAGATGGGTGGTATATAAATCAAATCAAATCAATCAATCAATCAAGATCATATCGGTGTTTATATAAGGTTTGCATCATTTCCAATGGCTAATTGTAACTCACTGACAAGATGCCAGGATGCATCTCACTTCCACTATCAGACACATGATCAGGTGTGGGACTAAGACATACCCCAGCATCTTGCCAATTAGCCACAATTGGCTGTGACAAGTTACACAAACCTCACAGGAACAGCATTAGGGTTCTGGCCAACATCTCTCTTCTGCTTCTGCATCGTGGTTCATCAAAAAAAGAACACGGGGTGTTACAAGGATACAACGCTGGGACAAAACAAGTACTCCAATGTCCACAAGCAGTGGAAATTTGGGGACTATTTACAGAAATCCGTATATGGCAAAGGGCTGATGTTGTCATGTTTTTGACTACTAAACCACATTGCAGAAGAGGGAAAGCATCTGGTACAAATGTCAGCCTTGTAAGAGCACTTGGCTGGACCACTATGAGAACAGTCTTCAAACAATGCAATCTTTTCCAAAAGGGTAAAAATAAAAATTGCTATGAAAAGCCTTGTTCTCTTTTGCATTTCCAGTTGTTGAAAGAGGCCCTTCTCTTTTTCTCCTCACTCCAAAATTCTGATGAAATTAAGCAGATGAACTCATTTTTCCCTCATATCTTTTGGGAGGTGCCTAAAATTATTAAGTAGATTAAAAAGAGACATTCTTTGAAGGCTGAAATCATGGGAAATACATCAGACTGGTGTACAGAGGGACCTCTTTCTAAACCAAACCTCTTTTCAGGCTTCAAAATTTCATACTGCCATCCATGCTCTTGAATACGGTCTTATCAAACGGTACAAGTACCAATGTCTGTAAAAATCAAAGCAAGCATGATCTACAAATTAAAAAAAAGTTCATTTATCCTTGAGCCCAACTGAAATGTACTAATGGTTCACCAGTCCATGGCAGAACTCAAAAAAGTTTTTTTAAAAAACTGAACGATAGCACCCTATTGTCCAAAAACCTACCTTTCCCAAATTCTAATTGTTGCAACCTGTTTCTATTAGTGGATCCCCAACAAAACCAACAAATAGGACATAAAAACAGTAGCCTATATCAATTAATTATCCATAGCACCTAATAATCAGAAGGACACTCCAAGGAGTTTCCACCCTTGGATGCAACTACTCTGCATAGCTATAGTAGACTGATACGACTTTAACTGGCATCATTCCACCAAAAATAAATAAATAAATGAAAAATTCCTGGGCAACATAGAATTATCAGCTGTAGTCCAGAGGAGTGCAAACTATGAATCCTCAAGGTTTGAGAGGTTAGAGCCACTGCAGTTAAACTGGTCAAAATGGTATACGTTTATTCTGTAGATCCACTACATTTTTCAAGGAACTCGCATTACATTCTTAACTTGCCGGGATTGACAGCCAACAAAGTTATGCTGGTGGGCACAGCTAATAGGATTCTGGCTAATGTGTCAGACAGAAGCCCACTACATCACCATCAGAGGCAAAGAATTAGGTGAGTTGAAGGCCAAAACACCTAGTGGGTCAGAAGTTCCCCAGTTCTAGTTTAGAGGGAGGGAATTTCAGGGATTGGCTTTAGATCCCTTCCCATAAAGAAGATTTCCCAAAACCAATGATGACATAAAACCTGCATCTGTACTTGTGATGGACTCACAGTAGCCCAAATTAGAACTGTGACAAGTTGAAGACAATCATCACTTTGACCAAGGGCACCGCACTTACAGGGTACAAAACTTTGCTGCTGGAAAGGTGAAAAACAACTGAGCATGAACACACCTACCTCAAGCACATATAGTGCCTTCAACCACATTTCCCGGGCAGAATGAAACAGAGCTCAGTGTGAACAAGACCCAGGAATTCCAATCTCTTCTTTCTGCTTATGCTACTCTCATGTGAACTAAGCTTAACTTATGGAGCAGCAAAGCACCAAACACCAAAATTTCCAGCAAAGCCTCTGGTCCAGCCACACCCATTTACCCAGTGCAACTCACAACATGCTATGTGACAATAACAATACAGCTTGTTCTAAATGCAAAGCTGAGCCATTCTTCCATGTTTCTGATCCTATTGCAATGGTGTTTAACGCTCTGAGATACCAACCTCCATCCTTTTAATTCCTCCAACTCCTCGCCCACCGTAATAGGATGCATCCACTGTTGGCCATTTCTTTGAAGGTAAAGGATCCTCTTCTTCCTAGGCAAAAATCCAACATAGATTTGGGCTTACTTTTGGGTTTTTGAAAGGGAACCAAATTGCTCTTAGGGCAGATATCTAAAGTTCAAGTCCCCTGAAACCATGTTTTTATTAGGAAAGGGGATATGGAACAAACAAGAAGTGACACGGGACGAGCAATCTAGAGGAAGTGGAACACTCGTTAATGATATATGTGGCATCTCAGTGGCTTTTGAGGAACCTCCTCAAACCACACACCATTTTCGAAACACATGGTTGGTTGGAGGAATAAAGTGCATTCTCTTTCTTTTCTGTAATGCAACCTTCTGTCAGCTGTGCAGGTCTTTGCATATAACAGTGAACAGAATCTGCTGAACTCTTTATTATTTGGGTATCTGGCAGAGAAGCCAGAGGTTGGGAATTTGATTCTCAAATATCAGGGGCTGGATTCAATGATCCCAGCTCGGTAGTTCTAAGATGGTGATGATGATTTTAAAAAAGGTAAAAATAGTTTGAAAATTGTCACACACAAAGAACAGAACAGAGCTTAAGAATACATTTCCAGGTAATAGTTGTATTTGTCTGTTAGAACTGTGCCCACCTGCTAGTGTCAACTACAGCAAACCCACTAAATCAAGTGTTGAATGGTAAATCAACATCTATGTAAATCCTACTGATTCAATACACCTACTCTAATTGGGACTACCTAGTAGGTTCTTAATCAGATGGGTAGATTTGTTTTTTGCATTCCTATTCACTTCACCCCATTCAATTTCAGTCCGGTACCCCATGGATCTCCCCTTCAGAGATTGCTGCCTTGTCATGGCAAAGGGAGTTAGAGCCTCAGAAAGCAATGTTCCCAAGTTCTGCCTCTTTTCCTCTAAGAGAGAACACCTTATTCTCCATTCATCCCATGTTTCTGAACCAGCCGTCATGGTTGCGGCTGCAAGTTCATCCTGCAACCCTTCAATTTGAATCAAGTGTTGCAAACTATAATCCTATAGATCGTGTCATTATCCTTGACCACTGGCCATAAGGGCTGTAAGATGACAGAAATCAGAGCCAAACATGTCTGGAAGTTGCTGGGATAGTGAAGCCTGCCAAAGTCCTTCTAGTTTTAGGGCCACCTAAACTACTCTGAGAGTGTACATGACTAAGTAGTGTATTTATTGCAATTTGGAAGTAAGCTTTCTTTAAAAATGGAACGTAAGAAAAAATATAGATGTGTGAGATATTGGGTATGATCAGAAGATGCTTCAACATGTAAAGCTCAGGAAAAAAGAGGGAATAAGATGTTCTCTGAATTAGAAAGTCATCTCTCCCTGCCACTTACTGTCGCCTTCACCCAGAGAATACATAAACCTAGCATTCTGGTTATGTGCAAAGAAAATCAATTTGCAGCGGAATGCACTTTGAAGTGTCTATTACAATCCAATTCCCAGGCGAGCAACATAGCCACTTCACCTGCATACTTCTGCAGAACCAATCTGTCTAATGGAGTATGCCATGTATCCAGGAATGTTGCACCACCCCCACTATCAACTTCTGATTTATTGCTACTTGTTCAAATATCTAAAATATATGATTACAGATGTTTGTGTGAGAAGCCAAAGAGCAACAGGGCTCTGGAGGTCAGCACAGCTGTGATCACAGTGCAAAAAAAGAGCTGAGCTAATACATAGGAGTCTCCACTACGCAGAGATCCATTCAGTTTAAGGAAAAGCCGTAAGTATGCCATCACCAAAACATCATGATGATATAACAGAGTAGCCTTCTGCAACCAGAGGCCATCCCTATAAGCTACTACAATTCCTGTTATCCTCAGAAAGCTCTGCCAACTCGTTAGGGATGATGAGAACTGTATTACAACATCTCAGAAGATGCCAGGATGGGAAAAGCTGCAGTGAAGGACACCATCTTCAGGCAGAAATACACATCGCTGACATTGGCTGCCCTCAACTGAATTATCTCTTTGTTATAATGTAAGAAGTGGTCTACCAACACATTCTTGCAGCAGGAATAAATAAATAAAACCTATAGTTTACTATAGATGGTAGATGGGGCAAATGGCTGTGGCCTCACTCATTTCAGAGTCCCTGGTTAAGGAAAATGCCTAAGAAACCATTTTTGAGCAGTTTCATAATATGTAACATACCTCAACTGGTGGGGCTGGTTTTGGTGGTGGAGGAGGATCCTTAATGACCTGTTGAGCAAGAAACAAATCAGAGAATAAGGGAGAGATGGCAAAGACCTTTTGAAGTTATATGGAAACAGAACATCCTGGCAGCAAATCTTACTACAAGCCCACCTATTCTTCCAGAATATAACAGATGTTTCAGATACTCTATAGCAGTGGTGCCAACCTTGGGCCTCCAGATGTTCTTGGACTTCAACTCCCAGAAATCCTGGCCAGCAAAGGTGGTGGTGAAGGCTTCTGGGAGTTGTAATCCAAGAACATCTGGACGCCCAAGGTTGGGGACCACTGCTCTATAGAGTACAAGCGAAGAAGCCTACATGATGACTTATAATGGGAATCTCATTTTGCTTCTCCCCCCCCCTCCCCCCTGCCAAACTGGAGCAAGTGTACATTTTCCCCACTCTGCCAGTTATGGCTTAGCTTTTCCAGTTTAGTGACCACTGTATTATGGGCTGGACCACTAACTTTATTCCTTAAACATTCTGCACACTATACCCAAGTAAACTGTGCTGCTGGAGGAAACCAGCCATCATTAAAATGTGAGCGCAACCCTATCCTATTTATAGAAGCAGTGGCATATAGAGAAAGTACTGGCAATGTGTGAAGCTACAGCAAAGGGGATACTTAAAAGGAAATTGCAGGGTGTTTCCTCTACCATTTTTAGTTACTGAATCCTTGTGTGACTGCCTATGTGTCAACCTTAAGAGTTCCTTTGGCAGGAAAACATTGATCTTCCTTTGTCCACTTAACCCAATATTGGCTCTCCAGCATCTTAGGAGAAGACATATTTCCTGGGCATCTTAAATGACTGTCCGTAAGTGAAAGATAAGCTGCTCTACCACCAAACTATTTATTTATTTTTATTTATTTATTTGTTACATTTATAGCCCGTCCATCTAGTCGTATTGACTACTCTGGGTGGGTAACAACAGATCAGATCTAATACAATTTAAAATCATAACAACATTTCACTAAAAAAAAAGGAAGCCACAATAATCAGATGGGAAAAAGGCACAGAGAACAATAATCAAATGGGGAAAAGGGGCACTTTCTTAACTCACTGCCTTACCACTCCGTTCCCTGTTTGAATATTCCCACACTCCCCCACCCCGGTGGTCTTCCCTTCTCTTCCTTTCCATCCCAGTAGATCTTTCTTCAGCCCATCAAGAAGTTGCAGCATGATATGACACAGAAGGGATGAGGAAGGAAGAAAATTACAGGTGTAAGGTCCAGGTAAGATTCCACTTTCTTCTTCAAAGGTACAGCCTGCTTCTTTATTTCAGCCAATTTCTCCAAAAGCTTCACTAGAGACTCATGAGTCAGGGAAGCATCCAGCCCACTTGCAGAAAGCTGCTCCTCGGCTGCCTTGATCCTGAACTTGATATCCTCTGATTTGTCCTTTAAGAACTTCATGTTCTGGGTTCGGCTATCAGCTTTCGCTTTTTCCATTGCCATTCCATTACAAGCTGTCGTCTCTTCCCAAGTGTTTCTAGTGTTTACTACAGGGCTAGGCAATAGAGATGGACATGAATCACTTCATGCTGGGTCATTATGCATCATGGGCATGGCACCACAGGTGGCACATGTTCCCTTCTCCCACAACCCCGGCCAGATTCACGACTCACTAGCCAACACGTGCTGCTTCTCCCCTGCTCTTCGTGTGACCATCCGATCACAGCAGGCACTCTTGCTTCCTTGCTCCAGTAGTTGGCCACTCCAAGCTAGTGCTGCAGAAATCCCTGCCCTGCCCCCTCATGAGTGGGTGGCTGCTGGAGGAGGCAGAGAAGGGAAGCATGAGCTCCTGCTGCAACACACCAGCTGGTGAGTAGGGAAGCCAGCCAGGGTGAGTGGGAGAAGGGAATGCAAATGATGACCTGGCACAAAGCAATTCGTGTCCATCTCTACTGGGCAAATGCTAGAGGTCCAGGGACCACACATGCCCATCCCTGGATCTTGAGCCACAACTGCTCCCACAATTCCTCCCCTCCCCCATTATATGCTTAGAAATATGGGTTGACATTTTCTCTATTGAAAAACACCCCTTGTACCATTTAGTGGCCAATTTTAAAAGCATTAACTTTTGGTGGGATGTGGATGCCCCACCTAAAGTGGCAAAATTGCTCCCCATGCTCCCTAGAGAACTTCTTGAGCCAAAACATTTATAAAGTGAGACATAGGAATGCTGAGGTGTGTGCCAGGTATGCTAGGAAGGCTTCATGCAGCCCACAAGCTCCATGTTGTCCACCCTGGTTTACTGATGGATTGTTACCCAATATATCTTAACCACTAGATGTCAATAATGGAAGAAAGGTGGCATATACGTTGTGTAACTAAATAAACACAGCAATAACAACCCAAGCCCACTCCTGCCTTCCTTGGGCTGCTGGAAGAATGCAATGTCTGCCCTGCAACCCTTCAGCAGCGGCGCCCTGCCTTCCTCCCCACGGGCACCAAAGCCACTGCCATCCTCACAAATGAAAATGAATAGCACTAAAAATCTGAGACCCTCAAATGGTTCTATGGGGGCAGGTAAGTCCTGAAGCACTTTATTGTACCCCCAGAGTCATTCGAGATCACAGATAAGGACACCTCACAGGATTCCACCACAGGAAAAGAACATTTCCCCAAGCAATCCGACACGCTGCCGTTGGAGGCTGCCATGATTTTGTTGGTGTGGCTTGTGTCAGTCGCAATTGGCGAGGGAGCTGCAACAATGGAGGTCAAGGTCACATGTCCAATCAGTTGCCAGCCATCCACCTGTGCTCTAAAAAGTGGCCTAGCATGCTCTCAATTCCTTCAGTGGCCTCGTGTGCCCAAGGAATTCAAGCATAACTTCCTTAACTTGGGGACAAAATGGCATCAGGATTTCTTTTTCCCAGTTGCTTTTCTTTAGACTGCTCCCAGTATCCTTCCAGGCAGAATTCCCCAAACAGTCATGCTGCCTAGGAGATTCTAGGTGATGTAATACAAAAATTGTTAGTTTTCCAAGCTTTGCCTTAGCCAATTCATTTTAGCATTATGGCACGTACTTCCTAATGGCACACATGCCTAGATGCAAGGAACTGTCCTATGAACTCATACGGATCTAGTTTTTCTTCCAAATTTAAAAGATGTAAAGGGACCCGTCCTTATCTGTTGGGTAAAAAAAGAGTGCGCACAGCTTCTGCAACACGAGAGCTTGCAGATGTTAAAAGACATAATATTGCAATACGGCCAGCTTTCTGTGTTTAATTCAGATTCCTTAAATACTGTCCCAAGAGCTCCGGAGACCAAATCTCCATTTTGTTTACCATATGCAGAGTTTGAGCCGTCTCCAATTTTATTTAGTTTGGCTTTATTAAAATCATTGTCAGGAACGAGCTGTTGGCATTGGCTTAACGGCAAAAAACCCCCCTAGGGCTTAATTTTGGAGAACAGCCGATTTCTCCTCTTTTTTTTTTTAAAAAAAAATTATTATTATTTCTTAAAACAAAAAAAACAAAAAAAATGAGTCGCTTCAGGCAACAGTCCCTTTGATCTGCTCATTAACACTTTTCAAATGTTTGAACGAGATGGGCATTAAGAAATGTCAGCACCAGAGTCGGGAGCCAGCCTGCCACACTCATATGTTCTAACATTCAGGGAAGAGAGAAGGAACTGTCAACAGTGAACCCTTTTTGAGAGAGAGATTGAGAGAGAGAGAAGAAAAACTGAAAACCCACAACCTGGTGGTGTATATGGACTCCAGATCAAGCAAAAAATAAAATAAAATTACCAACTGGCTCCTGCCAACAATTAAACAGCATGTCCAATTCATTTGACACACTAGAAGCCAAAACTGATGCC